CGTCGCTTCGGGTGGATCGTGCCAGCGTACCCAATGCCGGAGGGTGCCAAGCACGTGTCAGTTCTTCGTGTTGTGATTAGAGAAGACTTCTCTCGCACCCTTGCGGAGCGGCTTGTGCTTGACGTCATAAAGGTTCTGGCAGAGCTTGATACTCTTCCGTCGAAAAATGGTGGAAAAATCGGAAGCTTAGAAGAGGAAGAAAACGGTAAAAATGAGAAGGCGATGAAGAAGAAGACTGCAGAGGAGAGAGAGAGGGAAATTGTGAGTCATTGGAGAAACGTGACAAAGGCCAGAAAAATGGAGATGGATGCTGCTAATCAGGCTAGTCCTTCAGTTACGGTCGTTGCGAATTAAATAAAAAGAGGGACACGCTTACAATTATATGCATATTTTTTTTAATTTTGATAGTTTACAATTTTTATTATCAAATAATTAAAATCTAACTAAAAAAAAGGACCCAATTATAGAAATGAATTGGGGGAGTTTGGTTGTTTTTCAGAATGTAACATCACAAGTGCTCGGGCGTAGATTTAAGTTGAGAGGTTACTAATGTCTTCAGCTATTTTTGGGAAGGACTACTTGAGATCAAAAAAATCTTTTTATAATTGTACCTTCGAAATTTTAATGTCAATCATTTTGCTTCCATATTATTTACCACACAAATTAAGCCAACAATAATTAATATCTCATTTSCCTTGTTATTCCATTCAAGAAATTGCCTAAATTTATAGACTAAAACGAATAGAACAATAGAGGAAACAATGGAGGAAGAATCACACCATCAGAAAGAAAACTTTCCACTGATATGAAAGAGAGGAGATTCATGAGACAAATAACAATATACGTTGAGAGTTTCCCACCCCCACGTTTAAAATTCTAGTATTACTATAAATGTTACTTTTTTAAAAAATTCAAATAAATAAATGGGTGGTGGATCTCATCTAATAAAATAATATGTTTATTCGTTATATAATGGAATACTAATGATAGGAGTGACTTTTATGTTAATTTGTCCAATTTGCTTACGACTAGAACTTAGTGCAATTGATTAAGACTATAATCCGACTAAATGATGGGTTAACTAAAAAAATAGTACTCATGCTAAAAATTTTTGAACTTATTTAGTTAACGCATACCATAACTTATGCAAACCTATATGGCCAATCCATATATCTCAAGGAAGATTTGCCATTTGCATGGCACGTGATTTGATTTCATCTCCATCTAGTTCTTCAATACTTATGAAGTTTCTATTGTAATCAAACTTTTTGTTTATATCTTTTTTTTTTTTTTTTTACTTTTCAAACTTTAACAATATATAAGCAACTATTTTAGGAGTAAGAATTTGAATTCACGATCTTTTAAAAGATACAAACCTTAGTTAATTGAGCTATGTTCGTATAAGTAACTTTTTTTTTTAATAGGAACATGTGTGAGTAACTTTTGAATTATTAGAATTTGTTACCAATATTGGACTATGTTGAGTTTGTAAGGTGATTGCAAACAAAGTCTAATATTGGCTAGAGAAGGAAATAATCATGACTATATAAGAAATGACAATTATCCCCATTGGTACGAGGCTTTTTGGATAAAACCAAAAGCAAAGCGGTGAGGGTTATGTCCAAAGTCTAAAGCGAACAATATCACTCCATTGGAGAGATACGGGGTACCCTGGTCCTTCAAGAAGAGTATCATTGCTCAACCAACTTCAAACTTCAAATATTTGAAATGTATCATCATTCATAAAATTATTGTCTCGCTTGTCATTCGACTTTAGTATTTCTTATTTGAGTGAAGATATCTACAAGGTTCTTTTACAAGAAATACGAAATGGTCAGATTTTAATTTATTACTTTGATTTTATTAAAGATGTTTGCATTCTTTCRTGATTATATATAATTGATATTAAAATATATTATTATTATCATATATTTTAAAAATGGTAAAAGCATAACAGTAAAATATTACACTTTTCTTTTCATTTCTGGTGAATATAAAAAATAAATAAAATTCAATGATTCAAAATGAATTTGGTTCCAAAAGTAATTAAGAATTTGAAATTATTTCTATCCTTTAAAATCCAAAAATAATTTATAATAGATTCCGAGCGTTAACCTGAGGAATGTCAACAGAAAAAGTTATAAGAATGTACTTTTTTTCATCTTATTYATATTATATATTACATGTGAATGAGATTGCAGTTCTAAAAATTTGGTGTGTAGTGTGGGTTTTGCTTTATGCTCTTAGGGTATAAACGTGAAACATGAATGAATTTTCCTSTTCAAGCAAATTAGCACTTTAACTCCACCTATTTCTTCAAGCAATCCTCTCAAGTTTTCTCCAATTTTTCTTCTTTCCAATACGTTCTTTTCCAGGTTTGATTCTGTTCCTATTGTTAGTTATGTATGCGTAATAATAATATATTTTTTTTAAAACAATTATTTTGATCATGGCCACTAAATCTCTTGCAAACGAGTCAAATGCGGACCATATTATTAGGTAGATAAAACTTATGTACTTATGGAAGTAGGTATCTCTTACCAACACTATTAAGAAATAAAAGTAATCAAGAGACATGATTGAGACTCTAAATTTTGCTATCTTTCTAAAATTGAAATATGGTTGCTAAATAGTTATTATTTATTACTTTATTATTTTTTTTGCTATTTTTCTAAGTGCCCCTATAAAAAAACATGATACACATGAAATTATTTTGAAAGTAGGTGAAAGATTTAAGTAGAAACTCATGAATATGAGTTGATGGGAGTATATATGTCTAGTAAGAAATGCAATCCAACATAGTTCTTTGCATTCGAGTTGAAGATGTTTGGATTATTATGTGTCACTAGTGTTGTATATGTAGTAAATTTAGACTAGAAMTAGTATATCATGATTAGGGTTGTTTATGGTTGGATTAAATTAGGTCATATTTTTTTAATATGAAAATGGAAATCAAGATCAAACGGTTAAAGGAGTGCATCTTATGTCGAACCTAATCATAAATCAACTACTTGATTTGGCCTTCTTTTAGCATGGGGATACGCTGGCTCGAGCTAGGAATTAAGTTTCGAACGAGGATGACGTAACAACGATATTGGAGAAATGAAAGGAAGAAGTTTAAAGAAAAATACGAAATAAATATATAAATTTCAGTTTGATTCGAGTTAGTGTTCGATTTTTGAACTCCAAATTGAAACTAAATAGAACCTCCCGGTTTTAGAAATACATCATACCAAACCGTATCACAACTCGACTAAATTACAAAAATCAATTCAACTCAATTCGATTGGTTTTTTTAATCAGTTTTGTTGTGCACCCTCACATGGCACAAATTTATTTTAAATCTAAACTAAAATAATCAATACGATTTATTATAACCGAACAAAGTGTCCAACTTTCCTTCATATTTTTCTATTTATTTTCTTTTTTTTTTTAATGTGGTGGCCCTTCTTCCTTATTTTCTTTTCAAAGCAATAATTCAACTAATAAAAATGTTTAAAAAAAGTCACATATAGTTAGAAAAACCAAAGAATGCAAATCCATTTGGAATAGAAATTTTTTTTTACCCAAATTAGTGTTATAAAATTTGAAATAAAAAGAAAACAAAACTAATCGAAGACAATCAAAATAGAAAATCAACTASTATTTTGATTAAATGATGATAAAAAAAGATGTCTGTAGAAAGGATGCAAAAGAGAAAACCATAGTCCGTAGTATGTAATTTACTTAAAAAAACAAAGGTGAAGTGATGCGAGATAAATTTTTTAAAAAAAGGAAAGAACTATAAAATAGGTAAATTTTGAATTACCTTTTAATTCCAAATCCTTCTTAATCCAACTTATTTGGAATGAATTTCTTTTTATATTAACAAAACGTGAATTCTTCGGTAAATGAATAGGTGATTTCCTAATTTACTTGTCATCAAAATCCATAATGGAGAATTTTTTTTTCCCTATCTAATTTTTGGTATGAAAAGGCCAATGAATTCTCCACACCTTACCTTGAACTCTTCAATTATTTGTTAAATGTACATGTTAGCTTTTCTACTCATGCATTAATTATGATAATTAAATTATTTGTGAAATTGATGATAAAAATAATAAGTATTTTTTAATTTATTTCTTTCTTCTGAGCTAACTTAAAATGTATGTTTAAAATATTTACTAATATTTAGTTACCAAATAAAAGAAAAAGTAAGAAATTTTCCCAACAAAAAATCCTCATTTCCTATCCGAAATTCTCTAACAAGAATTTATAAAATAAGTTGGTTCATTTTCAATTAATTTTAAGATGAACCCTACGAATATTGATATTTATTAGTAATTTTTTTTACTGCTATTGCACATTTGACAATTTATTATTTTTTAAAATTTTTTATTTTTACATTTATCCTTCATAGTGGTCAAACATTGGTCAGCCTAAAATAAGTCYATACCGATAAGGACCAAAGTATTTTCCATATATTTATGTGATGTTCTTAACTTGGCCGTAAACAGTCACATATTTTTTTAGTAACATGTAGAGGTGGGATTTGAACTAGCGATCTTTTGATTGAATTTAGATACCTTAATAAATTGAGCTCGTCAAAAATTGACTCAATAATTTTTTTTTTATTTTGAAAAGAAAAGTATCACATCTAGAAAATTAATAAATGAATAAATAATGTTAACCATTTTTTTTTAAATTATAAAAAGTGGTTTTTGGTTTGCCACGTCGACAAAGGACCAAAGCAAGAAGAGGAACAGAAAGGAACGCTGGGCGTCCAATCACAATAGTTCCCTTTTGTTGACTTTCTTTCATTTTATTTTGGTTTCAACTCTTCTCATTTAATTTCACACTTTTATTAAATCAAATATTGTTTGTTTCGTACGCTGCTTATTGTTTTTAAATTTATTAAATCAAATAAATTCAGTAAATTTTTTTTTGGACAGATTTTAAAATTATTTTTAGATTATGTACTTTAAATAATGAAATTCTAAAAATAACATTGGTTATGTTCGGAGTATTTTTATATTCAAATTTTAAAACATTAAAATTCATAATTAGATTAAAAAAATCAAAACTTTGGTAAATATAATTTATTTCAGTTTTGTTAAAATTAAAATATGTAAAATATAATATATTGTAAAATAATAATTCTATAAAATTTATTATTCATTTAGGTTTCATGTTTGGAATGGAAATACAACTTTGTTACGCTCAGAATTTTTGTTACTCCACATACAACTCACACATTTTATTAAATGTTCTAAAKATTTAATTAAACTATAAAGACTATAATGAAAAATTATAGAAGTCCAATTAAAATTAAGATTAAAATTAGAGAGACTAATTATTTTAATAAATTTCAACCTAATAAAAAATTAAAATGCACTACTCATTCACGTAAGTTTATAATGTTGCTATTAAATTTATTAATTGTTTGGAAAAAATATCATCCCTCGTTATTAGAAGACTTTCTCAATTGAAAAGTATAGTGACAAGGAAGGCAAATTACATCAACTCTTCACAAACATGAATTAGAATTAACAATTAATGTTTGTTAAAATTTTAGGGAATTAAAGTTATATTTTAACATATATAATTTTAGTTAGTTTGAAACGACGTCGAACCAAAGGGTCAGAACTCAAATGCACATTTTTGTTCTYTTTCGAAAAAATAGCAAAAGCTTAAGCTGTGTACTATTGATGATTGGTCCATATATTTCTTCGTTTTATTCTGCAAGAACAAATCAAATCCAAATAAAAATTAATTTTGAAAATATTTCATTTGTTGTATTCTAATTGTGAACAAATCAAACCCAAATAAAAAATAAATTCTGATTTGTATTCTAATTGTGTTCATACTCCATGACCCCAACTTACTTTCATTGACATTCTTAAATTAGAAGGTTAAACGTGGAATATGAGACATTGATAATTCCATATTTTTATTATAAATATAAGAATGACACACAAAAAAAAAAAAAAGAAAAAAATTGCCATGGGTATAGCTATTAATATTAGACAATAAATATTTTAAAGTGTAGCTGGTATATTGATTCCAAACGCAACTAAATTAAATTAAATGACGTGAATCGAAATTTTGACTTAAACAAAATTTTAAATTGTGATTTCTAAAAGGATAACTAAGGAGAGTCATATTGTTATTGTGGGAGAAAACTCAACAAAGCACARTCACTCTTATGAATTTTGTATTTTAAATACTAAAGTTGAGAAATGGGAAGAAGAACTATTTTATAGGAATTAAAATAATATGGTTTTGCCTCTCTACAGCTTCCAACGAGGGAGAGAGATTTTATTATTCTAGATGAACGTAAAGTATAAGAGAGATTAACTTCACATCACAAATCACTTAAATAATACACGGTAAATAAAGAGAAAAACTAATTCTTTTAACCAACTCAACTCAACTGACACCGTGACCTAACATAGCCAACTTCATAATAGAATGTTGAATATCACTTTATCAACCTGTATAAATACATACTTACTCACCACTAAATTAACTTCATGGACATAGTTTTATTAAGATAGCTAGCAAGAGGCAAACATCACCTAAAAATAGATGGTTGAGAATTGAAATATATATTATCACTATAAATGGCTTCCAAAATGATTGCACCTTTAGAAAACTCGAACGAAACAATGAGGAAATTACTTTAATTTGAAGCTTACAATGAGATATGACCCACGTGAAAAAGCTTATTACTGTTATTTTTTGTTGCGTCACCATCATCGAAATTACTTTTTCGTCCCTCATTTATTTCTTGCRGCACAGTACACAATATAATTTTTTTTTTTAAACTTTTCTTCTTCGTCTTCTCATCTTTATTATTTACGTTTCATCTTCTACCTTCACTATTTTTCTCTTTTTTTTTTTCTTTACACAAAATTTTCAATTGGTATTTTTCGTTTTCCTCATTTTTCTCTAAATTTAAAATCAAAATATTTCAAATTTAAGTACGTGGGATTTAGAATAAGTATCACTCAGATATTTCAATCTCCAACTCTCTTTTTTACTATTTTTGGTTTGAATTTTATTTTTGTATTATTTTATTTTATTTACTTTTTATTCCTCAATTTTTAGTTTTTACCACGGGAATAAAATCAAAATCTTTTATTTTCCCTCAATCTCTCCCTCTGTCTCTCCCTTCCCTTATCTCATCATTTGCTCTCTCCTCTCGCTAATGATCTCTTTTTCCCTTCCTATTATTATCGCTAAAAATATTGTTCYATCCTCTCTAGTTTTCAATCTCGAATTCTCTTTTCACTTGCACATCTTTTTTTCTATGGCTCATTTTTTTTATGTTATACCTTTTTTTTCTATTGATCAACAATCATAGCTTCCCTTTTTTCTATTGATCCTTGCTACCTTTTTTTCCTATCAATCGCTAATTTTTTTTTTCTATTGGTCTGTTCCTTCTACTCTCTTTTTTTGCAATCGATCTGCTCATTCTTTTTTGCTATCGATTCGATCTGCATCTTTTTTTTCTTCTATCGCTGCTCGATTTTTTCTATCAACCTGCTTTTTTTTTCTCTATGCTATCGACCTACTCGTTTTTTTCTATCGATTTGCTCTTTTTTTTTTCTATCAACCTGTTTTTTTTTTTCTATCAATATGCTCTCTTTTCTTTCCTATCGATCGGCTCTTTTTTTTCCTATCAATATACCTTTTTTTTCCTATCAATCTGTTCCTTTTTTTTTTCTATCGAGAAAATTAAGGAATAAAAAAATTTGAAAAACAAAATAAAGAATTTAAGAAAAATTTTGAAAGAGAAAAATAAGGAATCAAACCTAGGAAAATTTTAAAATAGAGAAATAAAAAATCAGAGTCGAAAAAAATTAGAGTATTAATTAAAGGAGGAAATAATGGTAAGATATCCAAGTTTATATGGGATTGATAATATATCCGGATATATTTTATATAGACAAGGAGAGACTAATTAATCGGTATTCTAAAAAAATGTTATATACAGAAATTTAAAAGTGTAAAGTTAGAAAACTTTAAACATGTGTGAAAATAAGTTTTTAAAATAGTCCCTCGAAAATATTAACTCGGTCATATCTAATTGACGCCTCAAAATCCTAATAATAATCCCACACACTTCACCGTTTTTTTTTTGTTGCATATACCATAAAAAAAAAATTTAATTTAATTTGGATTACTCACCGTCATTATAATATATTTTTAGTTTCTACATAGATCTTTTTTAATTATCAAACATTTAATAGTATGGTGATCAAATCGGTCCTTAACCCAAGTATTTTCCTACCATAAATATGTGGTTTTGCTCCCCATTTAGCCTCATCCAAAAACCAAACTCTCCTAAAACTCAAAGCTAAGAGTTGAGAGTTAAACACCATGGCCTCCTCCAGAAGTACTTGCAAGGCTTTGGTTGTGGCGGCCGGCTTTCTGATTCTGGTGGCTTTCATTCACCCAGCCACGGCAGCCGGAGAGTGCGGGAAGATGACAATCGGGACAGCGGCGTATAGCCCGATATCGTGCACGGGGGCGGTGGCGGATGTGAAAGCTAAGGTCTCGCCGGAGTGCTGCAGCAGGGTGGCGGCCATGCTTAAAGCTACTCCAAAATGCTTTTGTGCCATTCTCCTTTTTCCCAAGACTAGAAAACAAGGAGTTAACCCAGCAATTGGCCTTACTATCCCCAAACGCTGCAACATCAAAAACCGTCCCGCCGGCAAGAAATGTGGAAGTAAGCTCATTATTCAATCCACACACTCACAACGTTAAACATTTCAAAACTATATTTTAGTCTTTATATTCTTTATTTTTATATCATTGTTTTAAATTTGTTCATAAAAACATTTTTCACGTATTGACATGCATTGCAGATCATTTCCTATGATTTGATCATTTTAATACTGATTTAGTTCGTAAACACTCATTGATAATGGGGTGTGAATTCACCATTTCAAAATAATAATAATAATAATATAAATGTGAATTGATTATTTACTATAATTGAAATAAAGTTTAAGATAATATTAGAATATGAATCAAAACGATTGGCAATAGAAAAAGAAATACGGTCAGTTTCTGATTCAAGAATCAAGTTTGATGTATCATTGTTAATAATTGATTGTAAATATAGAGTTTGTAGTAATCATTAAAATAAATTAAAAATGTTATTCAATAATTATTAAAACATATAATTAA